AATAAACATGCATCAGGTAATGCAATCATGTCTCAAATTCCAAATCAAACAGTAGTCAGGTAAGGTAGCAATACATGCATTTAAACCATAAAATAGATAAATCAGATACTATCATGCTTTTAGGCTATAAAATAAATCAACAGAGAACAATATCCGGTTTGGGCTCCATTAGCAATTCGTAATTAATTATGCACATCTATTTAATTTGTACAAAATATCGTATTACTATTTATTTAAACTTCAATTCTATGATAGGGAGTATGGTGAAGGATCCTTACTCAATTTAACACCGAAGAGGTAAACGGTTTAACGCACTTACGGGCGGTCCCTGAATTTTTTTCAGAAACTGAAACACGCTTATAGTACCTACAAATGTTCTAAATAAATCCAAAATCAGTCTCAGGGCCCACTCGGTTAATTTTGAAAATCTGGTACGGCAGCTCTGCCGTGCTCCGGCAACGACGACGCTGCCCACAACGGAGGTCCTCCTCGGGTCGGCCGTTTTCGGCCAAATTTGGTTGATTTTTCATCGATTTCTACTAGCAAACACGTTAAAGGGCCTTGGTTGGCCCAAAAAATATGAAAAATCGAAACTCACCGGCAGTGGAGCTCTCCGGTGCGTCGGCTCCTCTGGGTCACGTTGGGTTGAGTGTTTCGCTTCGATCAACCTGTAGAGAAGCAAATAGTGATCACAACGGCAGAAAAATTACGCAAAACGGGAATCGGGAAGGGTCTCATCGGAGGTGGTTTGTAAAATTTTTCGCAGCGATACCGCTGGGCTTCATCGGTATTTTTCAACCAATTAGCCAGTCCTTCCACTTTGATTTAGCCATGGGTGAGTTTAAAATTGAATTTCATGCAAATTAGAAAGTTTTTACCTTTTTTGGCAGTCGAAAAAGGTTTCGGTGTGGCGGCGAGTGGCGGCGGTTTGCTCCCCAGCAGTTAGGTCGTCCTCTCCGGAGAGGGGTTCTGACGGCTAGGGTTAGGGTTTGGTGCAGATGAAGGTTATTTATACCCATCCGCTTTTGATTTGGACAGTCCATCGCATTTGATCTAGACCGTCCAATTACGATTAAATAAGGGGTGAATCTGGACTGTTCATCTTGATCCAATCTAGGCTGTCCATCGCAATTCACTCTGAACTGTCCAATCGCTTTTAATCTAGCCATTCGATTGCGTTTGGGCGGGAGCGGATCCAGGTCGTCCGTGTGCGCGGGAATAGACCTCAACTGTTTGATTGCGCGCACGTGGTCCCCCCGCGTGGCCTCCCGCGTCAGCGCCTCTACCACTTGGCGCGTCCTGGTTAGTCGGGGTTACTGACCGGGCGTCTGATGTGGCAAATGTTTTCTAAATTGCATTTTGACCTCCAATTTCTGATTTTTCTTTCAAAAATACCTGCAGAACCCAAATTTTCACCATTTTTTTCTCAAAATTATTTTTAATTTAATCCTCCATCAATTTTAGTCCATTTTTCATTAAATTAAAATATAATATAATATAATATAATAAAAAAAATTATATTTATTAATAAGAGATAAAAAAAAAGATTTTGGTGGGTGTTACCATCTCAGTTGGTCGAAAAATCACAAAAAATCGAACCTATCAGCGGGGGAGTCTCCGGGTACAGCAGCTCGGCCGATCCTCATTCGCGGCTGGGGTTCCTTCTTCGGCTAACCTACACAGAAAAGGATGATGAATACAATGATGAAAAAATTGCATAAAAAAAAAAGCAGGAAGGGACTCATCAGAGGGATTTTTGAGTTCTGGTCGCGGTAGTTCTGTCGAGCTTTGTCCGTAATTTCCAGCTCACTCACCGTTCCTCTTGCTCCGATATGGCCACAAGAAGGCTCAGAATCGAATTCCTAACAAGTAGGAGAAAATTTTACCTTTTCTGGCAGTCGGCGGTGGCTTTAGTGCAGCAGCGGTTAACGGTCGGCCTTCTTCTCCAATGTCCATTCTCGTCGACGTAGAGTAAGGAGGATCATTCGATCTTTAGTTGTTTAGGTCAATTACGTGGGCGAGTCTAGGCCGTTCATTGCTATTGATCTCATCCATTCGATCGCGTCTAAAGAGCGAACGAATCTAAGTCATTCACGCGTGCGGGATCAAACCTGGGTCATCGGATCGCTGGGCACACAAATCACCCCCGTGACCTCCTGCGTGGCGCCGACTTCAGCGTGTTTTGACATACGGCGTACTCCAGTTCGTCAGAGCTGTTGACTGGGCCGTCTCACATGTCGAATTTTTCTTTTTGCACTTTGACTCCTATTTCTATTTTTTTTTCAAAA